AGCAAAAAACATTTTTTTGGAAATTTTTTTCAGTTTTAAAATAAAAAAGGAAGGAGGATTGAAAAAAAAAAAAAAAAATGAATTCAAGTAGGTGTGCAGTGTTGGCTTCAAAAAGATACAGAACCCCAATTCTGGTGGCTTTCACTAAAACTTATAAAAAAGAATTAGATTTTAAATATTTTTTTTTAAAAAGAAAGAAAAATTCCGTCTTGTGACGTAATATAATTGATGATTCGTAAAATAGCCCCCGACTCCACTCTTATCGGTTAAATAAAGTTATAAATAATATACCTACATCAAACATCTGTCGCGCATATTTTTTCTTGATGCCTGTGTTGAGTGACTTGAGTAGTTTCATAATGTCTTCGAAATTAAGATGGCCGTTATCGCTGATGTCTGCTCTGTTGAATGCGTCTCGAAAATTCGTGTGGAAAGTTAAATGTTTGAACCAAAGAACTTTGCAAGCCAAAGCAATGATAAATTACTCGAGTCCCCAGACAAATCAGTCAAGTAATTGTGTGCTATGAGTCCCTCACTAAATTATTAAAGTAATTGTGTACTATGAATTCCTTGATAAATTATAGAAGTAATTATGTGCTACGAGTCCCTTGATAAATTTGCCAATTAAGTATGTGCTATGTGAGTCCCCTGATAAATTTTTCAAGTAAGTGTGTGCAATGTGAGTCCCTGGTAAATTTGTCAAGTAAGTGTGTGCTATGTGAGTCCCCTGTTAAATTTGTCAAGTAAGTGTATGCAATGTGAGTCCCCTAGTAAATTTTTCAAGTAAGTGTATGCAATGTGAGTCCCATGGTAAATTTGTCAAGTTAAGTGTGTGCTTTGTGGATTCCATGATACAGAAATTATGAAATTGTATGCTGTGTGAGCCAACAGATCAAAGGATATCTATCCGTTTCGTTCCTCTGCTCTGCCAACTGCTCCATCTGCATGACGTACCTGAGTCCCCTGATCCACTTGTCCCGCATCTCCTGGCAGGGCGCCAAAATGTACTTGATCTTCTGGGACGCCCCAAGAATGATCACAAAACAATGCGATCTCTTTGGTCAATAGTCAATAGGGTTAGAAACATTTAGTAGTTAAAGGATTATTTGGTTTGTTATAGCTTGTCATAATTATAAATCTCAGGTCATAGTTTGGTATTTCATGTCAAAGTTTATTATAAACGGAATCCATCATTATCTGTAAAAATGACGTATGTCAGTTACGGAAGTTGTGATTAGGAACTTTCAAAGACGTCACATATCAGTTAGATAAAAACGAAACATCCGCATATTTCCTGGTATCTTATTGACTGTGTCCCTTACCTGTAGATCTAAGTCTTTCACATTTTTGGAGAAATCCTTTTCACCCTCTCTGACCTCACGAATTTTGGAAATCTTAACTAGGTAATAGTCAGAGACATTAGAAATTTTCAAATTTAAAATACAAAAAAAATAATAATAATAATAAAAATGCCTTTGAAGTATTGCAACAAAAATATCTTTCAATAACAATAATATTATATAAATTAGAATGAAAAGTCAAAACAATAACTAATATTTTTAAAATAGAACTGTTCCTCACAGGGACGTCATTTTTGGTAGAGCAGGGAGCATTAGCGCCCCCCCCCCTTTTCCTGAATTTGCAGGTTTTATTTAAATTGCTATGTACTGTGGTGCCTCTAGTTACAAATAACTTAACAAGCTGACCAAGATTTGGTTTTGGCCCCCGCCCCACCTGGAAAAAAACCAACTGAAATGACGCCCCTGATTCCACAACGTTTCGATGTCATTTAGCTATATCGCAATTCTCCCAAACCTCCTTTTTGTTTCTTCTTCCAACATACATATCTATCACCCTCCTGCCACTGTTATGTTGAAGATTCTCGTGTGTGGCCAGAAAATGTAAGACATTGAATATAATAATAACAATGTAGATGGACGCTTGATGAGATGGATGCCGTGCACAGACAACATAATATGTGGACAGACGTGTGAGTAGCAGAAGTCCTTACTGGTCGTATCGCTTTTCTTCTTCTTAGTAGAGCCCTCGTAATAGACGAACATGTTGGCGGAGTCCAGGAAGAAGGTTCGCGGTAGTCTGCGGCTTCGAGACTTGACCTTCTCCAGTAATGTCCCCTGAGCCAGATCTGCCAGAAGACGTTCCACTACAACAACAACAAAAAGTAAAACAAAAATGGATAATTAGTAAAAAAAAAAAATAATAATAATATGAAAAACATAACACCACTTTTTAAAAAAAAAACAAAAAAAAAACAAAAACACTGAAATCATGCCGCCTTTGGTTTGGAACAATAATTAGAATCCTATTTATAAATCTACGAATAAGAATCTTATATCCTGTTAAAAATAAGAAGGTGATATCTTACTGACAGTGCGGCACTAATACATATTAGTTATCAGCAAACCATACCCTCTGTGTGATGTGTTTAAGAATGTGCGATGTTTTTTTAGATTGTGTCTAAAGTTCGAGCAGTTTGATGCAACCCATGCTCCCCTCCCCACTGTGTTATGTTACTAGCATCACCTAAATAACTTATTGACACGTGATTCCAATAATTTTTCTTCCGCCTTCATTGCTCCATGCCTCATGCCAGTAACCAGCATCTCACCAGACCCTAGTCCATACTTCCTGCCTCCTGCTACCACAACCCACTTCCCCACAACTCAACTCCACACCACCCACAATCCACGGAAAAACCCTCCCCACATATGGCGCCATCCTTTTTCCTATTACCTAAATTCACGTCCCTCCCTAAATTAATTACTCTCCCTAAATTAACACCCATCCCTAAATTAACACCCTTCCCTAATTCGCACCCCTGTCTATTTTCAAATCTTTCCCTTACGTTCCTCCCTAAATTCACGCCCCTCCTTTAAGTCACATATCTCCCTAAATTGACACCCTTCTCTAAACTCAACCCCTTACTCGAACCACACCTAATCCTTCCTCAACCCCCCTCCACCCCCTCTCTCCTCTTCGGTAACCTATTTCACCACATTTCCCGTGTGTGCAGCGCTGATGGTGCGATTGGCCCACACTTCTTGCCTAATCCCAATAGATTCGTGAGTCCTAGCATAATGGAACCGATTGACTTTTTGGATGTTTAAAACAATACCTGCTCCAGTAACAAAACAAACTGACCTCACTAATTGATGTAAACCAAAAAAAGTTTGTGGGGGGGGGGGAGATTGATATAAATAATTCACTTATTCAAACCCTCACGTAATTATTTATTCAATACTCGTATAATCATTCAAATAATCAATCAGGCCATCATTTAAGTAATAA